CTGGTTTACCAGTACTAGGCCTTGCATAATACTGTAAAAGGATTAATTATTCACTGGGTTTTAATTTTGTTTATTTCGCTGACTGGAAAATGCGTTAAATTTAAACCTAGTGAATATGCAAAATTTAGCATAGAACACATTATCTAAATGATAAAACCGTGAATTTAAAACCCACTGAATATGTCCGAAATGCTAAATCGGGGAAATTTAAACTCAGTGAGATTTAGTCATTTTACAGTATGTAACTTGTGATCGATGGACATTTAGCAGTGATGTAAGAAAATTGTTGGCCATGCAAACTGATGCCGTTGTATGAGGAAAGCCAGGCAGATAACCTGATGTGGTATGAGGAAAGCCAGGCAGATCACCTGATCTGGCATGGGGGGGGGGGGAATGCACATTTACCATACTATGATTGATACAAGCACACTACCCCAGTAATAGTAAGATGCTGTGGTGCAAGAAAGTTGAGAACACAGACAGAAGCCACAGTGCGTGTGAGGCATGAAGACACAAACGCTGTGACTTGAAAAAGAGTTATTTAAAATACAGAAATATCAGGGACTACTTGTATGAAGTTTGGCAACAAAATTATCTTGCTCACTATTAAACATAGCTGCAATCAACTTGTTTCAGAATGTTTCATAATATTTTATTAGTCTTTGAAACAGTATAAAAAGTAACAAGTATACAACAAGAAAAATAAAAATAAAAAAACAAACTAAAAGCATACATTCATGTAGATCATTCTATTGCTCGGATTTCTTTTAATGTATTATTTTCCAAATCCATATTGATTGCCCATAAAGCATCAGAGAAGAGAAAATTAAATTAAATTCGAAATTAATTCCACCTGAAAAAAAAATCTATCTCAATAGTTGATTCTCCACCACTTTCCACTATTGTATTGGTCAGTGCTGAATAGAATTTGCAAAGAAATAAAAAGTGATAAACAACTCCTTTCCATCAACAAAGCTTACATACCCAGTCACTTTTATAATTTTCCCATCCTGTTTTATTCCCTTCCAAGTCTATTGCGTTTAACCTCACCTCACTTTAGGGTGTCATGATGATAATAGGGATCCTTTATATAAATTTTCCACTTTATTGTTGTGTTTAATCCAGCGATAGTGGAATTTCATATCTTGAATAGTTTTACCAAAATGCTTTATTTCCGTTTTTTCACTAATTTTATAGAAACTTTTAATCCTACTAACATTCTGTGGTATTTATAGTCCATAAACGTGATCTATTCCATTTTGAAATAGAATATTGTTGATATATTTTGGCTAGTTCCAAGCAAGCCTTGTCTGACATGATTCATGTAT